TGACGATAATGCGATAATGTTAATAATGAATATTCAATAACGTCGCAATTATGACATATGCGATATAATATATGATGCGCAATATTACATTCTGGAAAGCAAAAAGTAAAGAAATAATGACTTTTGAAATTGACATATTAAATGTATTAAAAATTTCATGATATATACTTCTATTAAATGTTAAATGTGTACCATTGATCAAGAGATAAAACAAGATTATTAATTCTTAATTTCCCAATGTATATTTTGACTGGATATTCTGACGCATGTATACAATTTATTTCATACAATTATAAAGTTCTTTAGTAATGTTTAAAAATAATTATTTATGAGGTAAAAACATCAAATTATATTGTATGTAAGACCAATAATATGAAAATCCGAAAATTCCTGTAATGAAAAATTCTGCTGAACATGAAAGAGATAAAGCACGGGTTAAAACTAATTCGCGGTGCAATAAAAACAGAGAAATATAAGGAACATCGCGAGGTAACGTTTTACGAGACAAACGAAAAGCGCATCGAATTATGGATAGGCGAAAGGAACAACGAACGAGACATAGAGATAGAGGGAGGAAGAATGAAGAAGCGAGTCTGCGGCGTGAAATCCTCGCGAAGCCCTCGGATATCCGTCGGCTTCTTCACGGAATTTATTTTTAATGAAGTGGCGCTTTCGCACGCGCGCTGGTCCTCGCAAGATTTTCGGGAGAAACCTGCTACGAATCCTCCGTGGCCACGGCAACGCTCCTCCTCGAGTTATTTTCTGCCTCTATTTCTCCGACGTGAGGAGAAGAGCGAAATAAGGGTGGCGGAGGATGGTTAAGAAACAGGATAGGCAAGGAATACAACGGTGAACGTAAGAGTAGCTCTGTGTCTTTTTCTTTTTTTTTTTTTTTTTTTTAAGTCCCTCTCGAGTACAAGACAACGCGCGTGCACGACCAGGATAGTTTCGCGAGTTTCGAGAGGTCGTAGGTGTGCGATACGTTGGGAAACGGAGTCGGAGGGATGGTGGATAATATAATGATGGCGTCGGCTGGGCGAGGAGGGGCGGGGCTACGAGGGGATCAATATTATCCTCCTCCACCTCCGTTTCCTCGTCCATGCGTCTCTCTTTCGCTCTCACTCTCTCTTTCACTCTCTGTCTCTCCCTGTCTCTCTACACCCACGACTAACCTTCTCTCAGACTCCCCCTCGAAGTTCCCCTCTAGCGCGACCACCATCACCATCTCCATCCTACGAATGTCAGATTTCTCTCCCTACCGTCTCCCACAACCTCCTCCTTTAGCTCGTCCTTCGGTTTCTCTCTCCTTCCTCTTTCATCTTGTAAAGGACGCGAATTCGCACGAATTCACGCGAATGTTTTGCACGAAATGAACGAGATCGTTAACCCAAACGCACAAAAACGTAAAGAAAATGCACGCTACATCGGGAGATTTAAATGTATGGTGTTTACATGTCGTGATGGTGCTTTAAAATTTCTTACATTTTATAACAAAAAAAAACAACTTTGTGCCAATGTGAAGTGAAAGAGTATCAGGCTCTTATTACATATCTATCTAATTTATGCTTAAATGTAACTAAGTCATCGATAAGACTTAACAATAGATTTACGCATGATTTATTCGCATATAAATTTTGCGAATAATGCGAATGCGGTAATTGGCTTTCAACTCTAACATTCGCTATTCGTCATAATTTTTATTCTAAAATATACGATATATACATAAAAAGACAACCTATTCTGAAATTACTGATCTATTTACCAAAAAATATTTTGCAAAATTTAAAAGAGGTAGACAGTAACGATTTATATATAATAAATTTTATTATGTTATTTAAATGTACATTATGTCGCAAACTGTAATATTAATCGAAAACGGACAATAGATATTCTAAGTTAATTTTATCAACAAACAGCAACTTCAAACTTTGATTCAATTTAATTATAAATTCATTGTGGACATATTTATAAACAGCGTTATAAATTGATACCATAAAACGATGCCCCATTTCGGTAAAATATCGTCTGAAAACTGTTCCGCTTAAATAGGCCTTACTCAAGAGCCGGGCTTCGGTAAGACTCGGTTGTAAGACTCTCTTGACCGAGGAACTAACGGCACGGCGTGGCGCGCAACTTCTGAGCGCAATGGAACAAATCGCGGTTACCCGGAGAGCCCGGAGCCCGATGTTAAGTCACGGGATTACCGCGGACGGGCCGGTGCGGTATTCGAGGGTGTCTATGTAGCACGTAGACGTATGTGCGGCGCGGAAGACGACCATAGGAAAGAGCGACGCCGACGATGAAATGAGACAGAACAGAGGGGGCCGTATGGGGGTGTGATTGATGAGGCATCCTCCGGTCACGGTCTCATTACATTTATATAAGCTTTCGTAGATTGAGCCGAACGTGTGCGTGAGCGAGAGGAAGAAAGAGACCGAATGGAGGCTTACGCGATGGCGAGGGGTCGTGATTTGATGAGATTTTATTGCTCGAATGATGTGACGCGACCATTGTTCTCCGACTCAGTAGCCAGGCGAAAAACAATGAATTCGATCGCATCAACTCCAAGATCATATTTCGATTTTTTGACGTTATTCATGAGAATCGATTCGACGGGCTTTAAATTTTTTAATTTATTAAAAATTACATAACTACATCAGTAAACATGCAATTTTGTGTGAACATAGATTTTGTGTACCGTAGCTTGGTGCGTCAGTATTTTGTGGATATTCGTCAAATTGGATTGGAAATAGCTATTAATGAGATTAACATAATATACTAATTAATTATATCATAAATTATTATCGGAATATGCGATTGCCCGTTGGTATATTTATGTTACAAACGCGATTTCTCTCACGATTCACAGATCATTTGGTCAATAGTTGGAATCCAGTTGGTCAAGCAATAGTTTTCACTCGAGTTTCGAGCGTATGTTCGTCGACGGATTTATGAATCAAAAGCGTTAAGATTCTCCTGGGTCATTGTAGATAGCTTCAGTCAAGATTCCGCGACGCTGTTAAATTTTATGGGCGCGGCATCTTGTGTGTACACGCTGCGCCTTTGCGCGAGAGAGTTTATTGATTCTCGAGTCGCAGCATCTTTCGCCCGCCGTACCATTCTGTCCTATCGAATTTACTCCCTCCTGGCTTACCGTCGTCGCCCATGGTACCGCGGCTACTGGACCGCTTCGTAAAATCCAATGATGTTTCTTGTCCGGCTTACCGATGCGAAAAAATTTCGCACCCCCACATATATCTCCCATGAGGACAGATCAAAGGTAAGTCGTTCTTTATTGACAAAAACCGATACCATCGTATTAATTTCGTATAACTACTCTATTAATGGTAACAGGAATATAACAATAAATATTATTTTGTTAGGGAAATCAGTGTAAAGCTATACGTGTGAATTAGTAAACTTAGTAAAATTAGTCTTATGTTAATCCTAATCGCGCAGGTCCTGAACATTTTTTCAATTACATTGTGAAAAATTGTTTATGATAAGTACTTTTCACTATTTTACATAGATTAATATTATTAATATCTTACTATATATTCCTCGGATTTTGATTTTCAAAATGAAAAAATCATTATGTTAACTTTTTGTGCAAAGAGATACATTAATTTAAAGTACATTAAACCGATTAGGGTAAAAATTCCAATTTTGTTTTACACATCTATAATCCACCGTTATTATCCCGTTAGGATTATTCCGTTAGATTATATAATGAAGGTTACTAGCAAATTCGGGCTGTTACGTGAAGTTCCAGGAATAATCGTTGAGAGGAAAGGACATTATTCTTCATTAGCTAGTCTTCCGCCCCCACTTTCAATGACCCGTCGCGCCTCTTAGCGTTTCCACGGCGTGATCGTAAGACCATCCATCTTACGGAGTATTCCACCGACCTGCTTCACCCTCAGTACCTTTCCCCTTTTCTTCCTATCTTGCTCTCCCTCCTCTCTACCAGCTACTCAACTCTCTCTTCGTAGAATACTTACACCACGACCCTTCGCGTATGTCGCGTTTTCCTTCCCCTTGCCTTACAGTTACGCGAGAGCGACGTGTATCTAAGCGCAACCACCCGTATAATTGTTGGGGGCGAGCAGGGACGACGTCGTTAAGAAAGAGAGGCTACATAGTCGGAGGACGCTGGTAGGTTCGAGGTTGAAGGACGAGCGAAGGGATAAGGAGGGTGGAAACGGCTGACGAAGTTCACCGTAGTATCGAGCGTGAGAGAAGGGCCGCCTTGAATTAACGCCGTCATATTTCAGGATGGAGAAGCTCGCCGGGGTTTTCTTGCTATTTGTCTCAAGACTCACCTACCGTCTACCACGGAGCGGAACCGCCGCCCGTTGTTCTCTTCGTTGCGTTCATGACTAATAACCCGTGGCATGCGAACATTCACGAAATCTGACAAGAAATGCTACGCATTGCTGTGCCTTCCCTCCGTTTCCTTCTCCGTTCATTCTCAATGTACGAGCTGTATATGTTAAAAAAAAATCTGGGAATGAAGGGTAACATCTGTACATCATGAAAAAAAAATTCTCTTTAAAATATTGGTTATTCTAAAAATAGAAAGGAAACATCGAAAAATATATATAATCGATATCTTTTTATTAAAGAATCCCGCACTAATTATATGAAAAATTAGGTCCTAATGAAATGAATCAATTTTCATATATTTATAATGTTACAAAGAACAAAAGATGATAGACACAAGGCTCAATAATGGACTGCAATTTTTGAGCTATGATATATCAAAGGTGTAAATCAATTGTGTTCACAAAGCATCTTTACAATTGTGTTTACAAAGCATCTTCTGTGTCTACATCTTTTCGTCATCTCATTATAAGCTACATTATATATGAAAATTAACTCGATCATTTCAACGGGACACAACTTTTCATATAATTGCAAGGTTCTTTCTCAAATAACATTCTACACATTATAATTAACAGACACATTTTTCTCGCAACGCTCTGTTATTCTGTTTCTAGGTCTGGTTCAAGAACAGGCGGGCGAAATGGCGGAAGAAGGAGCGTAACGCGATGAACGCCGCCGCGCAGGCCGCAGCGGATTTCAAGTCGGGCTTCAGTACAGCCAGTCTGAACGGTTTCATCACCCAACCGTTCCCAGATCCCGACACTCTCTACAGCTCGTATAGCACGTACAACAACTGGGCGGCTAAAGTACCGTCGCCGTTGAGCGGCAAGAGCTTTCCCTGGATGAACACTCTGGGCTCAGTTGTGCCTGCGGCATCGCATCATCACCATCACGCTCAGGTCAGCCCAGTGAATCCCTTTAACGCCGCAGCAACGTCGGTCGCAGGCAGCCACGTGGGCGGCATGTCAGTTTCGGTCGGTCAAGCGGCCACGTCCATGTTACCGGGCATGGGTTCTGGTCTCGGTGTCGCGAGTTCACCGGTCGCCGCGTCTGGCGCGGCGTGTCCGTACGCGGCGCCGGCGGCACCGCATCATCCATATGGACCGCCGGTTTATACGCCTCACCATCGATCGCCCGAATCCTGTACAGTGATGACATCGAGTAGCATCGCGTCGTTACGAATGAAGGCGAAACAGCATAGCAGTGGTTATGGCGGCGGTGGTGGCGGCTCTTTCGGCGCAGGCGGTACCACAGGCGGTACCACAGCCGGAAGTATAAGTCCCGTAAGTTCGAGAGCGTCTTCCGTCGGCGGTGGCGGTGGTGGCGGTGGTTTGAGCGCCTGTCAGTATGCGTTAACAACAGCGGCCGGAGCAAACCCTCATTCCCCGGGCGGTCCCGAGGCGCACGCTAACGCCACTGCCAGGGCCCAGGTCTGAGGCGAAGCGGGGGCTACGTCTAGCCCCCATCACCACAGCGTAATCTACGGCGGCCCCCGCTACAAGTCAGCCGAGCGACAATCAGCTCAGGTCGCAAGAGTGACCCAGGCCTAGGTCCGCCGCCTCGCCGACGCTATCGTCGACGCCCTCGTCGACGACCTCGCATCCGCATTATCTCATGTATGATGAGGACGGGGCTGCGGCGGACCAAAAGATGGAAGTCGACGAGCGAGGTGTTATCGAGACAAGTAGCATGGTGAATCCCGAACAAATGGTAGCAGCTACTGCCGGTGGGATTGGCGTAGGAGTCGGTGTAGGGGGACCAGGTACAACCAGTGGAAGTGGTACTGGATTGACTGGTTACTGGCAACATGCGACTACCGCCACCGGCTACTGGCCATCGTTGTTCGACTGTTGGACGACACCATCGATCGCATCCGGTTCACAGACGCTGTCTTTGCCGCGGGATGACGATTGAGGCCAGTAGAATTTTATCGACTACTCATGCGTTGTCTGTACTTGGCGCTGTCCTGCTTCTCCCAATTTGTCGCGAAATCTCGTTTTGTTTCATTAAACATTGAATGTTTGATTTAAACGAAAATGGCTCAGAGATATCACATTTATATTTCCGCCGAAAAACGCAAAAACGATTTCATTGTAGTTAATTAAAAATATATAGTAATGACTTGTTCCCATGCCTTTATAAAATTCGTAAGTATCGAATGCGAAGTCACTTATCGAATGTATTAATTAATACATGATTGAAATTGAACGATGCGATGCAAATTTCGTCACAGAATTGGAAATATTTTATTTGCGACTCTTAAGTTTCTCTGTTGACAACTAATTATAATCTTCTATTTCGAGATCTTCGTGAAAATTGACGATAAAGCAAAAGGGTAAAGAACCAGTGTCTATCACTATAGAAGAATTGACAGAACTTACAGTTGAAAATATTTGATTACGTTGTAAATACAAGTATTATGCGAGTAATCGGCTACATTGGATGCGATCGGCAAACTACAAGTTCGGCTAGTCGGTGAACTCACATATTCCTCAAGACAGATAAAAATTAATGGAGTACAAATGTTAAACTTCCGCCGCGATGAAAAGTATATTTAATCCCCCTTCCTTATTTTTATTTTAATATTTTTAATTGAACACGATATATTTATTATTCGAATACGATGCTAAATATACATTGCGATAAAGCAACGAAATAGTATTACGTTGAAAAAAACGAGAAAAAGCTTTCTCTGAAAGAATCATATAGCGTAAATATGCTAATTGTACGCTGCATGCTTTAATAATTTTTTTCATATGTAAAATGTGGGGAACGGGGATTAATTTTTAAGAACAACGGCGCTAACAAAGATCTCTCGCGGATCACGTACTCACTATTTTGTAGATATATGTATAGTAGAACGCCGGCTCTTTATGCCGAGCGTAACTGTATACCAAAAAATTGTTACATTGTAATGACGATAATAACGATTATTCAGCAGAATACTAAAATATTATAGGCTGTAAGTAAGCGGATTGTGCGTTGTACAGTGTATGGAGCAAGGAGCATCCTATCGATTAGGCGTACATTATAAATCTGAATTAGTATTGTCGAATAATTACTAAAACAATATTCACAGTATCCTCGCGCGGCGCGTGCAATTGGATTTTTCAAGTCCGTCGATTCCTCTTCCTCTTCGTACTCTCATCGTTCCAACGACAGTGTTTAACTTATACGTATATACCCTTGATTGTGTAACTAGAGAGGCGTTAACGTAATCAACGAAAATGTCCTATTTTTATAAGTAGCTTATTATTTGATAGACCACGCGTTGTGAGACAACAAAACCAAAGTTAAACCCAAAAAATATCACGTATGTATAGTAATTATGCCGCGCGTTGAAGCCACAGAGATAATTGTATAAATTATTACACATAACGGGGGAGTGTGGTGGTGCGTCGGGAGATTTTGACGGGATGAAACGACGACGAGACACGGCGCGAATCGATCGGCTTCGGAAAAGTCGACATGCGAGCGGCCGATCGCCATAGAGCTCGAGGTATAGTCACGTAAGATAGGCGTAAGAAACGACCGCTATTTTGTATGAATCCCAATGTCGTACAAATGTTCGTCGTAATCACATATCCCAGTCCCTGCGGTGAGTGATTCGTAACGTCACGCAGAATGTTCTTCATTCCCGTTTGTCACCTCACTCGCTACGTGTAAACGTTCCTACTGGGCGATATTGAGCGCCGTAAAAGGCCCCGTTTGTAATCTAGTCACAATAAAAACCAATTCTATTCTAAAGCAACGACTCGGAACTATATCCCCTACCCGTGCGAGAGTTCACCGATAAGATTACAATTTTTATTTCGTACCAACTTGTTTTATGATCCAGCAGTTTTTTGGTGATTTTAGGTCTCTTTTATATTTAAACTTCACAAAAGTCACTATAGTGAAACAATATCAAATTTTAAGGTAAGAAATACAATGAGAAATATGAATTATATCAAATCTTATTTAAGAAAAACTGTAAGATTTTAAAAATAGACTCCCGTCTTCCAAAGATTAATGAACCTCTAAAAGAGGGTACAACTTTTTTTGTAACTGTTCGAAGATCGCTTTATTTCTCCATTTTCTTATGTATTTTTTTCATAGGAATCAAAAATTATTATAATAATAACATTGTATTCAAGGAAAAATTGGTACATTGAAATAAAAAAAATCCTTATTCACACTGTTACGAAATCGCTGTTAATTATGCTTCAAACATTTAAAAATTAATTCAAAGTTGGCTCAACAAATGATTGAAGCATAATTGAGATAACGATTTCGTAACGATGTGAATAAGGCTTTATTAACTTTATTTCATACACACACACACACACACACACACACACACACACACTATGTACCTACTAACTGTTCCTTGAATTGTTGACCCAAATAACTCTAAATTAGTTTTGAAATGATTGAAGCATAACTGACAGCAATCTCGTAACAATGTAAATTTTATTCTTTATTTCAAATGTATCAATTTTTCTTTGAGTGTAGCATCATTATTATGATAATTTTCGGTTTCTATGAAAAAAAATACATAAGAAAATATAGAAATAAAACGATCTTCAAACGGTCGCGAAAAAGTGAAAGTTGTACTTTAGATAAGAATAATTATATTCGCATCAAAGACAAAAGCAGAGGTGTGAAAATATAGTGATACTTTCGTATCGCTCTTTGTGTTGTCATTACGAAATAGAAGACTTTATTCGAAATGGGGAGATGTTGGGCAATGAATGCCGATACATGATCGTGCTATTTATAGGTAGTTAGTTATACCCCTCGGACATTGAGGGAGCATCGATAACCTACGCGAAGTCCACATGCATGCCAAGCGTGTAACGTATTGCATTACGGTGGTCGGGACGTGGCGATAAATTATGCACCCTCGGCTGGCACGCGAAGGGTCGATCGCACGTTGGTTCGCAACCACCCTCATGTGCTAAACTAAACTAAACGTATATTACAATGATCGTGGCATCGTTAATGGCGCAGCAGTTATAAGATGTTGCACAACCCCGTATGTTTCCCTATTATATGCATACGACAGTCGCGCATTAAGAAAGCCACCGGCTTTATTACGATCCGGTGAATAATAACTTTCGAGAAGTAATGCGTTAATTATATTAATTACATTGATTACTATTTGTTGATTCATATTATATTATTACCGCAATACGGAGAGAATATGGCTTATTATTATTAAATGCCGTCAGTTTTAATTATATTGCAAATGCAACGTTATTATATTTTTTTTTTTTTTCGAAATCTCAGTAAGATTTCATCGCGTTACTTAAAATTCCTCTTAATTATAAGTCCAATGTACAAAGAACGTTTTATCTCTTCGCCAACTTATCTTCTTCCGTAATCTTATCATTCGTACGGCACACGACACTTTCCTCAAAAAATTCTCCGAGCGCACTCCTTTAAAACTTCGTTGTATCATTTACACAGCTACAACGATTTAAGAAGAGCTTTTTTTCTTTATATATATATTTCCAATATTTGATGATGTTAATAGAAAAATTGAAAATAATTTTGTTAGACCATCAAAACAATTGTATAAAATACTTAAATAATTATGTAAAATGTTTAAATATTGATGACAATATGCCGCAAAAAGTTTTAACATTTTAACAAATTTAAGCGTCCAACATAATTATTTTGATAGTTCAAACAAAATTATTTTCAGATCTGTATCTAGTTAAATTTTTAGAGGCTTCAACAAAATCATTTCTTTCTAATTTTCTTTCATACATTCAGAAAAAGATAACAGTGATGGCAACTAGATATAAATTATATAGGTGACAAAAGTTTGTTTTATTCATAGAATTAATGTAGAATGTACATATATGTATATAATAGTTCAATAATAATTTTGTAATTATTGTAACCATAAAATAGTTTATTCAACTAGAGTAAAGTCGCCTCTCTATTATGAGATACCTTTTTTTAAAGGGGCTTGTAATTTATTTAATTTATAACCTAAATTTCTAGTTTCACGTCAAATTTATGGGAAATATATTTAATTGTAAGTTTTATCGTCAAAAATTAGCAGTCGATAATAGCTATACTTTGTTGTATATGAAATTTTTTATCAAAAGTGCCGATTTTGATTATTCAAAAAAAGGGTTCCTAATATGAGATACAAGGGTTTTCTTGTATGAGGTAGTATCTCGTAACAGGAAACTAAGAAAAAAATAAAGATAAACTTTTTATACACGCTTTTATTATATTACATATAAGTAGGAACAAAGAATTTAAATGTTATACATAATAATTATATAATTTTTCGATATGTGTGTATGTGTGTATGTGTGTATGAGTAATCTTAACAATAGAATCGTCATTTTTAACATTTCGTTCGATAGTATGCTTTGAGATATTGAATTGTTTAGATGGTCTCATATTAGCTAGGAATATCCTGAGTATCTCATATTACGACTTTCATACCTTGCGATTTCACGATCACCAAATCTAATCTTTACAGTTAAACAAATCATTATATTACGTGTTTTCCTATGAATACGATCTTACTCTATCACTGCATGCAGATTTTAATACCCAATATTTATTTTTGTATAATAAAACAAGATTTAAAGATTAACCTCAATAAAATTTGACAACATTCAATTTCACAAATCTTTTTTTGCAACGACTGCACGCATGATCTAATAATGAATTTTCTACTAAACAGGTTTCACACTAAGAGTAAAAAGTTCATGACAGAATCAAATACATGCGCGCGCTTGTTAGTTTAGCAGAAACCCCGCTTCTCATATTAGGAACCTATCCCATAATAGGCGACTTTATCCTATTGTGTATGTACATTAACTCTACATAATATAAAACTTGTATAGTTGTCACCTATATAGTTGCTATCACTATGTTTTTCTCCGTACATTAAATTAAAGTTATCAGCTACAGTATCGGCTTGATACTTTGATGAAATTTTTAACCGCGTGATACTAGATTTCGTGAAAAGAAATAAAAAGAGGAGTCTTCTCTCCACTAGGCGTCCTACTTTCTTCTCGCCTCGTTCCGTAACAACGAGTCATCCTCCGCCTCTTCACCGGTCTCCAATTCAGAGCGGGTAATTCGATTCTCGTCCGCCTCCGTACGTCTCCGACGAACATTTGAATACGGACGAGCTTCAGCGAGACGTGGTAGGAAAATGAGAAGCAGGAGGTGGAAAGAAATGGAACGAAGTAGGCTAGGGTGGGCCGCAACCCTGCCATCCACGTTTCTTCGACGAAATGACCTTCGCCAGTAAAAAGACGTGTTGGGACCGTCATAGTCTCCGTCGGCTTACGAACAGTCACCGTAACTCCCGAAACTTCTCTCGGCGGAGTGAAAGTACGTGGACGACACGGGATGAGGAGGAGGAAACGGAAGGTTGAAGACCGTCACAGCGGGACGAATCGCGAAAGGGCGAAAGACGCAAAGACGGGCCCGTTGAGATTCGAGGATTTACCCGCGGAATAAAATCCGATACAGCCTCGTGAATATGTTGTTCTTGCTTACGGCATCGGCACGCTCGCTCTGCCACGGGCGACGCGATCTTTTCCCCTGCGACGAAAATGCCGCTGTACTACATACGTACCCTCGACTCAGGCAAACAAATGTTACGGTTCGACACGTTACTATAATTTCTCTTGATGTTCTTACGATTATGGAATCATGCTAGATTTGCGACAACCTATTGGTGTTCAGCTGACCTGTGATTCGATGGATAATGTCAAAAGATACGAAGCAAATGCTTTTCTAACAAAAACATTTTTAAGGTAAGAGCTTAAATAGATATCTTGATACTTCTGTGAGAATTGTTTCTATGATTAATGTTGATGCATCTCAGTTATTAGTTGAAACGAGTGTTTTCACGAGGCTCGTCGCGTTTACGTGCCGTAAAGTTTGCGCGGATCACGCGCTCAAAATATCAGGCGTCTGAGTAAGATAAAATGGCAATTAACATTAACTTGAGCAACGTGTCTCGTAAGGGGTCATAAAGATACCGAGCTGCGTATCTGCGCCATCATCGCGACGTTATCGCCGTTCTTACGCATTGGCGTAATCAACACATTTGGCAGGTTTCACGAGAATTTCGCACCTTCATATTTTTATTTCATATCGTCAATTCACGTAGCCAAGATCAGTAAGATTCAGCCAGAGTAACTGACAACATTGATAAAAAAAATTAATGACATTCAACGTCAATGATCATCGCGAGATATCTACTTTCAACATTTTAAGAAATTTGCCTTTGTTTTTATTTGTCAATAAGAATATTTTGACATTCAAATAGTTGAGATGTATTTACACTTTTCGCCGATCCTCGTGCTTAAATTCGATTGTTGTTAATCATAAAATGTTGGATTTTAAATGCAGTAATTTCTGCGCAACGTCATTTTCTTCCGCTTCTCTGTACTGTAGTCCTTTATGCAAACTATTGCATGACACTATATTGCGCATACCATATAGAGTGGATCTCAGGTATGGTGTTATTTATTGCCGGTACGTGAGGTATCCGGTGCGTGATACCGTCGTCTCGAATCAAGCAAACCGTTCTCGAGTTCAACTTACTTTCGAAGTTGCTTCGACTTTGCTTGTACTGTTCGTTCTTAAACTGAGAAACTTATTAGTGTGCAAAAATAATGTGTTTCGTATTCCGGTAAATTAGATGGATTTTTCCGACAACTGATACTTGTTATAAAATCGTGATTCAATTTGTAA